AAGGAAATAAATAAAATGGTTTGATTACTCTGTCTCGCATTTATAAACTCATTGCTTTCGGTGTCTAAGTTCCGAACTTTTTAAATATCATACCGATTTCCATACCGGTTTTGATGAGTGATTATAAGAATCCTATAAAAAGAAAATGGTGCGAATAATGACTGACAATCGTTAGCTAGAGGCCATTGTTGGATACTTTAAAGAAGCTAAACTGTATGCATACCATATTAACAAATCAATTCTTGAATAATCAGTTACTTTAATGAGCATTTTCAGGTCTAATGAACAAGTATCAACAAAATGTTTACATATTAAGCCCCTAATCTAAGCAAATCTAGAAAATCAAAGAGTATAAGTTATAACTGAGTCAGTATGTATATAGAACATGACTTGCCAAGTGATCTAACAGAAATACAGTGTCCGTATCTTTCATTTTTTAAGTTAAAGTTAAAAAACTCTATCCTTAAAAATCAAATATAGATACTCAAGATCTGTATTTTCAGTTTTATTGTTCTAATTCTAATTTTTTCTTTTGATCTGTTAAATTTAAATGTCTACATTAACGTGGAAAAGAGAGAATGAGCTAGTGTAATTAAGACATAAAAAAACAACGGAGACCAATGATATCGTTGGAAGAACAACATGAAAATTTTATAGCGGCGGTGAGAAAATGAGAAATACTAGCGGCCGCCAGGGTGAAAATGAGCGCATTAAAAAAAGGTTTACAGGAACACATACAACATTTCCTCCATAAAACGTGTGACTAGGAAGTTTCTGGAAGTTTCACGTTGTAGTCGTGCTAAACAATGGCAAAGAAATGTACAAAAAAGTGTGCTGCATGTTAACCGTTGTCTTTTTCTCACCGTTTCTTTAGCATTACACGATTTTACGTTCTGTTTGAGTAGACTAATAATATTAAAGAGAGCTTCGCTTTTAGCCCTGGCTAAATCTATTTACGACATTTATTCCCCTAAGCGATGTTGTTAAGTATGTATTTTAATGTAGCATAAAGGGTCTATTATATTAGTGTAGGATCTTGGCAAATACATAAATAAATAAATAAATAAATAAATAAATAAATAAATAAATGGAATTTTGAAGCAATAACCTGGTGAGGAGATGTCACACTCATTCGATAGTAACAAATACAAATGAAAGAAATGAAATTAAAAAAGTTTTTAGAAGGTTAAATCCAACCTGCCTTTCGCTATTCGCAGAGGAGCAGGAAAAAGCTTGAAAAGGTCATAGCGCTGACTGACTGTTTATTTTAGATCGATCTTCTCTCGAACCTCTTAAAATAAAAATGCAGTTGGTTTGGCAGTACCAGAAGTGAGTGTATTCATCAGTTTTATCGTCTTATTCTCAGTAGCTATCTTGCAAAAACACAGAAAGCTCGGATAGGCTAGACTCTTGCAGTTTTCCAATGAGACTGAATGACCATGTTTTGTCCCATTTATACAACGGATTTAGCCAGTTGCCTTTGGCTTCTGATTAATTAAGAAGATTTGACCCCAGAAAATTGCTGTGCTCATGCGTTTTGCTTACAGTTTTCACGTCACGAGTGCTCTATTTTCAATCCCATGATACCACGGATATTAGATCTAAGGCTGGTCTAGAACTTCTTGATAAAATATACACTACTTAAAAAATAGCCTTAAGTAATAAAACTTCGTGAACAATAGTTTTTTGGTAAGGAATGAAATTATGCGTGCTCTCAAAGGTGGCACCTTAAGGGTAAAATTGCTGGTTTCCGCCCATTTTTAACAATACTGTTTGATAAAAAGGGATAATAAAGTTCCGTAGTGGATTATGTTTAGTTGAATACGTCTTCTTTAAAGATGACGGTCGGGATCAGATTAACTATAAGAACTTTAATAACAATAATAGTAATGATAACTTTTTTATTGAGGGTACTTAATATCTCTCAATAGTCTACACAGGGCCCTTTAAAAACAGTCAATCAAAAAACACTGATTAAAAGGCGCGAATTTGCAGATAAACTAACTAAGGAATTGCTAAAATTGCCCATTACAATTTACTAATTTCAATTTGGTTAAAAAGCTACCATCCTACGTGGAAATGGACACGAAATATATTTTATCATGGAAACATCCAACATCCGTAGGTTGGCTCCAACCATTCTGACCTGCAACGCTACATAATTAAGATTTTGTGATAAATAGTTATTGATATTAGTTACAGCAAGTTTAAATGCGCGTCCGACAACATGGCGCGGACAATGTGGCGTCGGCCCTTATCAGGCTCCATTTTCTCCAAAACTGGAGAGCACTATCAATTGTATAAATCTCTATCCAGTAGATAGTGCAATTGGTTTCCCTAGTAATACTTATCCACTGGATAGAGATTTACTCCAATGGATAGCTCTATCCAGTGTTTGAACAACTGGGGCCAGATGGCCTGTAAACGTTTAACAAGTTATAACGTAATTTGATCGACTAAAATCGTAGGTCGTATATTGGCAATGAAACGGATCAAAGGGCCACTATGTTAAAACTGATAGTTTACATACTCAGCGAGTATACACTTAAAATGGAATCTCCAGATACTGTGGTCTTTTGTATATCTTATACGCTCCGAGACTCCTTTTCATATTTCCAGAGTCAAAACCCTTGTAGGCGTGAAAGGAATTTTTTATGAATGCTCCCACGACATTCATGACTTTGTCTTAAAGTTCGTAAAGCTCTTTAGTGCCGGTAACTCCGTATATGGCTCTTTGTTTTCATGTACTTCGTTTTAGACCTGAAGAGAACCTTTATACGGTTTCATTCTGGTGAGTTTTCTTTTTAAGACAGCTTATAATCAGTAACATTCCAACTTACTTCAATTCAGTTGTTAGGAACCTGCGCTGCGGGCTGAAACTGAAACATGGTTCGACTACAACTCCTCGTGTCCGTAATTGTGCTGGTTGCAGTCTGCAATATCGAAGTGGTAAGGTTTTATTACTGTAATCAGCTCAGGGGTGAGAGTAAGTTGTTAAAAGGAGAATTAAATAGTTTGTATATCATTAATTTATAAAAGACGTTTACTTAATGCATGACTGTTTGTGTCCACTGTTAATCAGAAATCTTGAGACCAAATAATAATACTCAGACGGCGGAAAATAGTGCTTCGCCATGAAGACTCCCTCGGTTGGTGGATTTTTCGTTAAAATTCAGAAGGGACTGTGTAAAGCTTATTCATTAGAAACAGTATTATAAATAGGTATACTGAGGTCGGTTTATATCTGAGCGTTTTTTCTTTTCTTCTTCTTTTCTTTCTCGAGCCGTGATACAGAAATCATTCTAAAGATAAAGGATGGGTTGCGACAATGGCAAAAAATTCTAGGCGTCCAGTTGTACATCCACTTCACCGGCCATTTTACCAACAAACACTAAAAGAAACTCTACTGAAACAACCTACCAACACACGCAGCACTCTAAAAGCATGACGACTCTGCTTTTCTGGGCGTGCTTACAAAGCTAAAACTAAGTAAAAAATTTTCCTGTAGGTGCCTTGATGAATTGACTTTCTATATGGGGCTTAGTTTAACTACAATACCCGTCAAATTTCGTTGAAACATTAGACTGAAAGTGAGTATTTTTCATGTCAATCCTTCTCCACCAACTTATTTAACTTTTCCCCCAGTCCATCCCCTTAGAAAAGAAGTTCAACATATTCGAGGGGCTACTTATAGTTAGCCGATTTAATGGAGAGAGTTTTTGAGTCGGAAAAGAGCTTCCAACCTTTAAAACAACCAAAGCCTGTACTGTGTATAAATGTAGTAAAATTATGAATTCTAACAAGTATCTCATTAAGACGCATATTCTTCATACTCTTCATTCTCGATAGCGAGCTTACAGACGAGCTTTTGCTTATCCTTGGATAAAAACACTGGATGAATTTCGCAGAAATGCAGGTAAATAAGTCTGGCCATGCATTGTTGAGACAGGCACTGCATGAACAAAAAATTCAATGTCAGTAAAGAAAAGGCTATGCCCTTGTATAAATACTTATTCTACCGAGCCTTGTCAGTCAAACAGAATAATTGTCTCTTGCAAATAAAATAAGTCATAATTATACTGAATGTACCACAACCTGTTCATTTTCAGCTACCAAAATAAACAATTTTGGCGTGCAGATTCTGGTCTGACCCGTGTGCATTGGGTAACGGAGCTTGTTGAACAAGTTCAGCAGCCCAAACGTGGATTTGATTCTCTCCACAGGCAAAAAAATTAATTTTTCTCCTCCTGTGAGCACATTTTCACAAAAAAATTAAAATACCCATAAGGTGAAAAATTTTATCTTTTAATTGAAAGTACTTACCAAGACATCTGTCAAAAATTTTGCAATTTGAACACAACGTGATTTTCTTAGAAGTTTCTTTTTTTGAAGCGTTCAATTTTCGCCATTTTGGCTCTCCTTTCGGCTTAGTCTTCTCTCGGATGCCTCTCGGAAACAAAGGGGCTGTGAGGTAGATTAAGGAACTATGAAGTAAATTAAAGAACAAGTGAATTTAGATTCAACAAAACGAGTATGGAGTTCAATTTGCACACTGAAACAGCTGCTAAAAGTTAAAACATGCCACTAACTTCGTTGCAACTAGATGCAACAACACTGGCGACCCTAAGAAAGAGACAGCAAGCATAAAAATGATCCTGATTTTTAGTTCCTGAATTTATTTCTCATGACGTCACATATGAGCTAGTCAATTTCGTGACCAGCGGAACGGGTGTGCCAAAGAAATTTAGACCCAAAAAATTGCTAAAAAATCTCATTTGTTCAAAACGCAAAATTCTTTGGAAGAAGTTCTTGAAGTACAGTGTTCTTTCAGTTTTTACGTTATACTGAGGCACATAAGAGATCGTTATTTAGTTATTTAGGAGCTTGTGCGTTCTATTAGGTGACCTCACCTAATGGCATACTCAAATGATAGTTTTATTTAATTTGTTTTTTGTTGTTTCTTTCGTCTTACAGCTTGTAATATCGACCTCGGACTCGTCATGGATAACACTAAAGGCAACTTTAGTCTCGTAAAGGACTTCGCGAAGCATCTTGTGGGAAAATTTCAAATCTCAGACGAAGGTACGCGTGTTGGAGCCATTACATTCGGTCACGGAGCACATATTCGTCTTCTGTTCAGTGATCTAAAAGGCAAAGAAAACAACTTGCAGAATGTGAAGGAACAGATCAATAGATGGCGTAAAGGTTCTCCCGTTTATGATAACAAGACTAGTATCAGCGAAGCTCTACGTGTTGCTAAAGATTTCCTGTTTAGGACTTCCAGTGGCATGAGATTCGGGCAAGTAGAACAGGTAATAAGCCTTCTTCATTCCTCTGACACCCCTGAGGAGCCTTGAGAGTTTTCGCAGGATGTGTCTTAGGAGGCCGTGTGTGTATTGTGCGCCCATTGCTGGTTTGCATCATTCCCATGACACTCAACGCCCTTTGCAAACACTTAGGGCTTGTTTACAGACCCATGCACTGCAGTGTAATCACATTGATTGAGACCTCTGAGTAGACAAACGATGTTTTCACACGTGAAAGAATCGTTTGCGTCTTTGTTATTTCTGTATTAGGGTGTACGGTTATAACACACGTTTTTCTTTTGTTTTCGTGACAGGTACTCGTGCTTTTCACAAACGCAAAACAACACTTGGGGCAGGCAGCTTCTACTCTCAGAAGAATTCAGGAACTACAAAATAAAGGAATAAAAATTATTATTGTGGGTATTCAAAAACCAGACCCTATTGAGCTGTTGAAGCTTGCCGGTGGAATCGAGAACATGCATTGGCTGAAGTCTGAGGGCAGGATTACAAGCATCGCTACCAAAATATACCAGAGTGTATGCAGTAAAGCCTAGGATTTCAACAGGCTTCTAACTTTTGCATAATAATTATAAATGCTAAATGCTTAATGAAGCCTCCTTAAGCCTCGGCAAATATATCATATACATCCCAGTTTAACCATTGTAGTCAACACTGAATATAACTGCGCGCTTTGAGTCCTGAATAATTGATGCAAACTCAGATATTTCGCAAAGAGTTTCAGAACTCTTGCGTTAATTAACACGTAGGTTACAATGATGTTACTTTTCTCATGTATCATTATTGTTTAATTTCAAAATAAAATCTGGAGTCGGGAATAATTTCATGGCGTATGGTTCTCATTCATGGGCTGAGACAGGGACACCCAACGAGAATATAGTTCAAAACCACTAAACATAGCATTGTTAAACGTATTTTAGTAGTTAAACGGAAGATATAGGCATATTTTTATCTCCTAAAAATTTTTCAGCTGTTCGAATTTCCTAGCTGAAAGTCTACTGATCCGAATATTACTTTTTCGAACATTTCAGTCAAAAAAGGCTCCCGAAAATTCTAGGTGACCTTTTTAGGGTAAAAATTTGTAAAAAATGGGCAATTATACCAATTTTTAGATGTACGAAAATCCTAGGAGAGGCAGGCAAGCAAGAAATTTTACATCAACTGTGCTGAAAATTCTAGATCTCAAATCGTCTTCCGAACAGATCTTTTCCGAAAATTGACGTTAGGCCGCCCCTGCTGAGAGTAAACAAGATTTGACGCAGCATAGTAGCAGGGACAAATATTCGGGGCATTAAGCACAAAACTTGACCACGGCCCTCAGTTTTTATTTGGGGAAAATAAAAAAGATAAAAATATATATCGCCTTATCTTACGGTATCGTGTTGCAAAAAATTAGAATACAGTATCTTCTCTCGTGGACCGGCGTTTGTTTGAATTTGCAGTTTATTCGGGCTTACTATTACTAATTAAAAAAGAAGAGTTTTTTTGCCTTTTTCTTGACAGCCGTGTATCTTACCTTTTATACCACTAGTCTATTATACCACAAATAAACGTCTGGGTGGTGGTTGGGGGTGGGTGGGTGGGGGGGGGGGGTATCTACCACTTCTCCTCCAAGACCTGGCGTTTATTCAGGGCCCGGCGTTAAAAGAGAAAATACGGTAAACTTACTTTTGCGGTACTTTGGGCACCGTTCACTTTTAATAAGATAAAAAAATAAAATAAAATAAAAATTATTCGAAAAAATATAAAAAGAAAAGAAATAAAAAAGAAATAAAAATAAAAAACCAAAAAATATACAAAAAATAAAGATAACTAATCAATAAAATAAAAATTATTGCAAAAAAAATATTGATGTACTCTCGCTCTACAGCTTTTTCCTATGGCACACATGGGCCACCATAGAGGTGTAAGCGCCTCAGTTGAGCTTGAGTTGAGAGTCGGTCTGATGAGCGGGATGATGACGGTTTCAAACTCCTGCCGAACTCAGTGTGCAGGGACTGGGCCAGGGCTTCAATTTCAGTGTTATTTTCAGTGTTCTATTAGCTGGAGACCTAAATGTGTTTTGTGTTGATATTGAATACCACGTTAAAAAGAAGTTATTATAATGACGACTAAAGGGAGTGGTGGTTCCATATATGCTCATTTATTCTTTTATCCAGACAATGACAAGTTGACAGATTACCTCTTTGATCCGTGCAGAATAGACTGGAGAAAGTTAGTCTCCACCTTAGATTTCCTCGCATGGAAAGTGCATTCCATAACAGTTATTTGCGCGGATTTCGCACTTTTTAGCAGCAAAGATTTATTTAATAACCGATTTCTTTGAGTTTTGGCCTCCTATATGGCTCTTGATCTAGCCAGATTTATGAAAACTGCACCAGCCGGCTCCTAGAGGCCACACACCTTATAAACTGACTCAACTAAAGTAAATATCGCCAAGAAACTCAGCTGTTACCCATGGTTGTCTTAAGGTGACTCTCTTCTTAGTTCCTGATTAGCAAAAGAAACATTCAAGTCCATCAAAAAGACACTCTTGATTTGCCCATACACTCTAGCTGCTTGAAAGATCTAAATGACAGAGAATGCTTGAGACTTAGACCAAGTTCTAAGCAGAGAATTCAAGGTTAAATACCCCCCCCCCTGACTTCCTCCTACCCCCCAGCCTAGCACGTGCTTGAGGGGAATGCTTTTATTGGCCAATAGGCCTCAAACATTAAAAGAATGTGAAATGACAAGCTAAAGGCAGACATGACGGGTGCACTGACTCTCCCAGACACGGGACAGTACCACGCTTTTGCAGCACCCTCCTCCGCTAGGGATTGACATGGAGGCCCCTTCCCAACCAATGGCGAGATAGCTCAGGGACTGAGCTTGACAATGAGACCAACCAGGACAGCAAACCCTGCATTTTTTTTCTCACCGAAGTGGCCAGAAACCTGGCTATCGCCAGGTTCCTGTGCGAATATTCTGGTCCATTAGGAGGTATGTTTTCAAAAATTCGGCTAGATATACCCAATAAAGAATGATGGAACTTCCTCTTCGATTGCCATAATCGGCTTCTCAGATTATACCCAGGCCATAATAAATTCAATTATTATACTTTGTAATCAATATCTTTCTTTTCATCGGCTAAGAGCCTACAGCTATTTTTGGAAATCAGCGCAACCTACAGATTAGTTAGAATCTAGTTAGTTATCTGTTTAGCAGATAACGGACTAATTTGTAGGTTGCGCGCGCAATGCATGTACACCAATAACAATACGTGAGTGTTTGTTGTTATTTTCTTCAAAACAATGTACAATAAAACAATTACTAGATACGGTTTTTGTGATATCCGGGATAATCAAGGTCGAGGTAAGTGTTATCAGCCGAACCGAAGGCCGAGGCTGATAACACTTACCTCGACCTTGATTATTTCGGATATCACAAAAACCTCATAAAATAATGTTTTATAATTCAGTGTTACTAATTTAAAAGTTGCATGCATCCATTTTTATTGCACTGAGCGAGATATCTCATCTCGGTGAAATGAACACTTAAATGGCCTTCTTTTTTTGGATTTTTACTGCTCTTGCTGTTTGTCAAGTGCAAAATTTCACGGTGCTTGGATTTTCACTGATAATTTGTCTCAGAACTTGCAAATTCTAGGTTGTATTAAAGCAACAATTATTATATGGTCAATATGAATATTGAAGTGAAATAATAAAAGTATCTAGTTTCTTGGGTAATATAAGAAGATTTCTACACAATTTAAAATACAATATCAAAGTTTTTTGATTACTTGAGGTCATATGGCATGTTTAATTTTGTATGCCACCAAATAAGGGAAATTGATTGAAAAAACTAAATGGTCTCTATTGTAATCAGAAGCCTTCAAGTTATAGTGAGGTGAATTCTTTTTCTCATCGTCAGGCCGTTTTGTTTGTTATTACGGCTACTATTTCACTAGCTATTTTATGTGGTTTTGAGATATAAATTGAATTCTCACTGAAAATTTATGTTGCCGAGTGTGGCGATTGACATTATCACAGGCACACGATAAAATCATATCCGTAACCCCAACGAATATCGGTTTGGTACAAATTATGCACCTCCTGCACTTAAGCTTGTAAAATAAATATTACAACACCATAACAAGAATTCAGACTTAAAGAAACAATATTTAAGGCTGTAGAATTAAACTTTCCTCCTCAGTTGCGTCTTAGATGGGTGGAATAATATACTCTCTCTGTCCTTCGAATTTAATTTGTTTTCATGCAATTTTGATCAATGACTTTTCGGCCGGCCTCAAATGAAAGTTAGTGTAAGTTGACACAGTTGCCTTCCTAAAAGCGCTTTTGCGTCCTTTGTTGACCACTGAAAAAATATTATGTATCATAGCTATAATGCCTCCTATCAAACCTGCTGACAGGTGCTTGTGCGACATCGGAAATATTTAAGCAGCGTCAGCGCAGAATCTATCAGCACTTTAAACCCACACCAGCTTCAGTTACGACAACAAGAAGAAAGATCGTCGTATTTACATCAGGAAGATTGAAGTTTAATTCTAATTTCAATTTAAGATCGATTGCAGATGGATTACCTCTAAGGCTAACTTGAAACTTCTCGTAATATGCCCTTCATTTTGACCTTGCTTCTTTTATTAGCTTCGTCTATTGCTTTTCAACCAATAACTGTTCCAAACAGAGCTTTAGTCGGACATGTCTACCGTTCTTCATACGACATAGATTGGATCACCTGCATCCAGTCCTGCCAAGACGATCCAAAATGCTTTTCATATAACTTTGCTCGCCTGTTAAACGGTCTTAGTCAGTGTCAAATGATCGACTGTGGTTTGGAAGATTCCTGCAACACTGAAGGCCTTGTGTTTTCTACTGGATCAATATTCCAACAGATAGTGCCAACAAGGGTGAGAAAAATTATTTTTATAAGTGTATTTTTAAATTTCCTACAACTGTGATAGAGGACTAATCGAAATATTATAGCATTAACGCTCACAAGGTCCGAAATTTGCTTTTTATCTGCTGTATTGTACAAATATAGTTTTGTTCACTGACTGACTAAGATATACATCAACATCAAAAACCCAGCTCATGACGCAGACTGCTTCTCTC